CACGCCTCCGCCTCCTCCTCCTCCTCCTCCTCCTCCTCCTCCTCCTCCTCCTCCTCCTCCTCCTCCTCCTCCTCCTCCGCCTCCGCCTCCGCCTCCGCCTCCGCCTCCAGCCTCCTAGATGGGCTCCGAGCAGATGGGGTCGGAGGATCGCGCCAGATCGCCGATGCATCACCGTTGCATTGGCGATGCGCCTGCGACGCATCGTCGACGTTGGCGGTGCATCGGCGATGTCGACGTGAAGCAAATCGTGCTCCACATCGAGCCGCATCGCCGATGCAAGGCCGATGCATCGGAACAAGGCCTAGAGCAGGGGGCCCCGGGCCCGGAAGACTGCGTATGCGAGTCGTGCGAGCGGCAGCCCAAGGAGCAAGGGCAGCACACAGGACCCGAGCAACGACCTCACGTGTCCTCGGTGCATGAGCACAAGGCGCGAAGACCAGCAGCCCAGGGCGGTGGGTCCTGCAACGCAACGGGTCGAGCAAGAAGACAGGAACTGAACCAAGGACGGACACAGAGAGTCCGAGGGCGCGATGGCGCGGCCCTGGAGGCGAACACGCCATAAAGTGAGCGTGGCTGGTAGGCGGACCTCCAGGCCGTGCAAAGATCGACAAAGATCGCGCAGCCCAGCTCCATGGGGGCAAAAGCCGGGGCCAGGCAGGGCCGCGAAATTCCGAAAACAGTCGAACTGCCAAAAAAAACATGAAAAATAGAATGCGTGGAAGTCCTGTGCCAAAAACTATGTGTGTGTGTATATATATATGTAAATCACCAGAGAAAGAAAAAACAAACAGTGGATGGTTTTCGCTGAGAAGATCGACCGGGAACCCGAGAGCCCGGGAACCCAGAACCCACCGAAATCGGCCCGGAACCAATGACAGGGAACCCCGGAACCCGGAACCCGGGAACCCAGCATGCTACCAAAATCAGCGGGAAACTGTTGCCAGACTGTTCAACTTCCGCTAGGACCTTTTCAATACAAGCCCTGGTTGAGGAATATATGTGCGCGGAGAGGGCCAGACATCTTTCAGACAGAGTCAAGCAGGACGGGAGAGTAGAATTCAAAATGTGTAATTGTAGAGGGGAGGGACGACAGAAAATGGACAAAGAGAACAAGGATACAGTAGCAAGGACGAAGAGCAACACATTATAGACGACGATCGGAGCTTGGGAAGGCAAACCCATGGCGTCTGAACATCAAGGTCTCGAGGAAGGACGAGGGATAAGAGAGGGTGGAGAAAAGGACGAGAAAGGAGCAATGAAGGACGACAACCACGAACACGACCGCGCACACGTCGCCCCCGCCCCCAGGGGAGGCGTCCCTGACGCCATCTGCCGGGCTGTGCGGGATGAAGACCGAGTTGGACTTCGAGTTGGCCCCGATCTCCTTCGGGGGGGCAGGCGGGGGGAAAGCGGGGGAAGCGGGGAAGGGGGGGGGGCGGCGGCGTGGGGAAGCGAGGAGCGAAGGCGGGGGGGGGAGAGCAGAGAGGCAGGGAGAGGGGTAGGGAAGGACGGGGGGGGGAAGGACAAGGGGGAGGCGGGGAGGCAAGCTAGGTGCGCTCGCGTCATATTCGACGTCCTACCCCTCCCTCCCATCCCTTACCATGGCGTAGATTTCGCACTGTCGGATGTCGAACAAAGAAATGATCCCGAGAGGGTGCGCGATGCATCGTAGAGCACGGCATAGCAAGACTTAGAAGAGCACGGCAGAGCGTAGTATGACATCGCATGGCGTGGCGTGGCGTAGTGAAGAATTGCATCACAAAGCATTGTAACGCAAAGAATGGTATCGCACAGCGGCACAGAACACAACATGGCATAGCATGGCGTCGAAGATTAAAGCGTAGTTTGGCGTAGCATGGCGTGGCACTGCGTAGTCAAGCACTGCATATCCTAGCATTGTAGCTGAAAGCATGGCATCGCATAGCGGAACACCACAAAGCTTTGCATTGCATGCCGTGGCATGGTACTGGAATTCATATTGCCAGCGCTGCAGCGGGAGCACGACTCGGAACGAGCGGAAGCGCGGAAATGAGGCCAACGCTGTAGCGGGAGCACAATTCGGAACGAGCGGAAGCGCGGAAATGAGGCCAGCGCTGCAGCGGGATCACGATTCGGAACGAGCGGAAGCCGGAAAATGAGGTCAGCGCTTCAGCGGGAACAAAATGCTGGAAGAAGAAAAAACGAAAACCCAACTCCCGGGAATCCTGTGTAACAAACAGTACGCGGAGGGGGGCCGAACATCCTCTGGACGTCATCAGGGGAGAGAGGAGAGTAGTATTCATATGGAGAGTTGCGAAAGAGCGCAGGGAGGGAAGGACGGGGGGAGGGAAGGACAAGAGGGGAGAGAAGGACGGGGGGAGGGAAGGACGGAGGGGAGGGAGAGAGGCGGGAAGATGGGGAGGGCAGGACAGGGGGGAAGGACAAAGCGGAGGGCGGGGGGGACGGGTCAGCGGAAGATGACGGCGAGGAGGAACGGGGAGAGGAGAATGTTTGACGCCTGGAATGGGTACGGAAACAAATGTGCACGACGATGCCCAACAACAAGTGCTGTCCAAAACCGACAGCGGCCGCTATTGCACAGGCCGCCTCCTGTCTCGAATGGACAACGTCCACGGCGTGGCGGACAGCGAGTCCCGCTCACAATAAACAGGAACTGCTATTGGACATCGTACCCACTCTTTCCGTACCAATTCTCGCCATCGCTGGGACGCCATTTCCCTATCGGCCTCGTGCGTATACTCCCGATCGTCCCGCGGGATTGGGGGGTGTATGGAGGCCGCCTAGATGGGTCGGAGCAGATGGGGTCGACGGATCGCGCCGCATCGCCGATACATCGGCGATGCATCGGCGATGCATCGGCGATGCATCGGCGATGCATCGTCGACTTGGGCGATGAGTCGGCGACGTCCGCGTGCATGAAATCGGGCTCTGCACCAAGCCGCATCGGCGCTGCATCGGCGATGCGGCGCGATCCTCCAACCCCATCTACTCCTACCCCATCTAGGAGGCCCAGACTCTAACTTCCCCCTCTAGGGAGCCCGCTAAGGACGTACGTGCCCAACCATGTACATGAACGCGGCCCCTCGATCCGCGAGACCGCCCGCGTGATACGGAGATTCGCACAGCGCATGCTCTCGAAACCAAGGTGGATTCATGCAGGTGTACGTCTTTCTCTCGCTCCTGACCCTCCCCCTACCCTTCTGTCGGGCGTGTCCCCCTACAGGGGGAATTTTCGAGGGAAAAACAAATATCCAAAAAAATACCCCAAAAGGGTCCAAAAAAACTCAAGAAATAGTCCCCCGACTATTTTTGGACTATGATTTGACTATGTTTGGGGTATTTTTTATTTTTCGCCGAAAATCCCCCTGTAGGGGGTCAGGCGCGACTTAACCCTACCCCCTTCTTCGCGTGGCCGATCTCGGGGCACCTCCTCCCCGATGCTCGAGCCTCGAGGCTCGAGACTCCCCGACCCTCCGCCCAAACCCCGGCGCCGCGCGCGTGCGCGGCCCTCCCTGCCCTGGAGGCCCAGGGGTGCAGGCCCTCTGGAGTTCCGACGCAGTGCGGTGACAGGCCGTGGGGTTGGCGGGCCTGTTTTCCACCGCCACCACCACAAGTAGGAGAGGGAGGGGGTCCTCCTCCTCCTCCTCCTCCTCCTCCTCCTCCTCCTCCTCCTCCTCCTCCTCCTCCTCCTCCTCCTCCTCCTCATCCTCCACCTCGTTCCCCCCTCCAACTTCTGGTGGTGGTTGAAGACAGGCCCATCATGGGGTGACCTCGAAATCCCCCAAGACCTCGCCGCACGGTCCGCCAGCGCACGGCTTGAGGACCCCAAATGCCCCAGTCGGAGACGCACGCCCTCGGAGAACGGCCCGAGTCCCAAGACCGTGCGGTGACCCCGAATCCCCACCGGCTCACCGCACGGTGTGGTCACCACCCCATTTATCGACTGGGGGATCGACTACAGAATTGACTTACCCCAGAATCGATTTCCACGTCGACTCTTCAACGAACATACGTCAACCCTTCGTAGATCTGCGAAAGTTCCACGACTTGCCCGCGGATGCGACAAGAACATCCATTCATTCTGGGGCAGATCAATTCTGTAGTCGATCCCCTGTTCGAGTTTGGGGTGGGAGCCCCCTGAACGCATGAAAAGCGACCCCTGCCCCCCACATGAGGAACTCTAGACCAAGTGTACGGCAATGGCCTCGCTTGAAAGGCGCCTACACTTCCACACCTTCGCCACAGCTGCAAAACGTTGACATATAAAATCGACAGTTCTGGGGGCCGGGGTCGGTCTTCCCCCTGTTCACCCCCGACCGTGCCCGGGAGTGGAGGCGGCCGACCGGGCGCCAGGCGTGCGGCCCCCTCGGGGCGAGCAGGGGGTCGGCACGGGGCCCGGCGCGGCCGCCGCCGCGACGCGCCCTCTGCGTACAGGGGGGGGAGCGCCCGCGCCGAGGCGAGGGCGGCGGCGGGGCCGCGGCGCCTCCCGAGGAGAGAGCGCCGCTGCCAGCGAGAGCGGCGTCGGGGGCCGTGCGGGCAGGTGGGCGCGCGCCGCGGCGAGCAGGGAGGAAAGGGGGCGCGGATCGGGAGGGGGGGGGGAGGGCGATCCATGGGGGGGGGGGAGGCAGGGGGGCCCTTCTCGGACCGGGAAGGCCCCCTCTTGGGGGCCCCGAGGGGGCACCTTTTTTCGCCAGCCCTCGCTGCCCCCCCATGTGTCGCCCCCCCCCCCGCTGGGGCGTCCCCCGAGAGGAGGAGGACGGATGGCGGTCGCACTGGGCGAGGAGTGGGCGCTGCGGGGGCAGCTGCCAGAGGGCAGCCGGGAGGGAAGCCCTCCTCGGCATGGCCTCGCCCTGCGTCCTAGCTCAGCCCTCCTCGGGCACAACTCTGGTGAGCGGGAAGCAATCCACCTCTGCTGCTGCCCCCTGGGGCCTGCGGGCAGAGGGGGCAGAAGAGGGGAAGCACCCAGACACCAGAAGAGGTCCCAGACGACCGAGCATTTTCTTGGGGTGGAGGGCTCAGGGTGACTGACATCCACATGGGCTGTTGCACCACGAAGATCAATCCGTCCTGTGATTCACGTCTTGCAGATTCAAGCCTCGAAAACCAGTCGAAATGGCTCTTCAGACTGCGCCCTCTGCCCCCCACCCAAAGAAAATGCTCGGGAGGAGCCGCACACGGATGCACGAGGGAGGGGAGCCCCAGAGAAGGCCGGGCCGCACGAGGGGCGGCGGGCAGGCCGGAGCCCCGCGGGGAGGGGGGCCCACGCGAGGAGGGTCCGGGGGCAAAAACAGCTGAACCCCCCCTGACTTGAACAGAGAGCGCGCGAAATCGAAGAGCGTATAAGTAAGGATACAGCCAACCCGAATAGTCGACCCGTACAGTAAGGATGCGCGATGAGGATGCAAGGGCCTTGGACGCCCATTTCGAAGCTCTTCGAGCGGGGCGCGGCCAATGAAAGTGGCCAAGGATGGACCGAGGAGGCAAGGATGCAAGGGTACCCTCGGGAAGGTTGCCCATCCTCACTATCCGGGTCGACTGTAATAGAAAGGGCGCCCTTCCCAAACGTCCAAAAAAGGTGCACCGGGTGGAGTTCACTGCCCGCGTGAGCTGGAAGTGACGCTGAACTGGCGGAGGCAACAAAAGATTACTGGTCTTGATCCTGACCCCATTGAAGCAACCCGTCCTGATCCTGGGCTGGGGCCCACAAATCCCACCAGCCCTTTGGGCGACGGGTGGCCTAATGAGGGTCTCCTTCCTCTTCCACAACCCCTCTTCCCTTCGGGGAGGGGAACCCTCCCCCTCCCCTCCCTGAGATTTTTTGGGGGGAGGGATCGCGAGGTGTCGGAGGCTCCTTTTTCGGCCATTGGGAGGGCCATTTTGCCACCCCTCACGAGGATCGTGGCCCCCGAGGGGAGGACCTAAATGGAGTACCCCCCCTCTTTTGACCGACCGCCTCCAAGATGGCCCCAAGAGGCCCTCCAAGGCTCCACAGAGGCCCCCAAAAGGGTTTTACTAGCGCCCAAATAGGCCCCAAGAGGGCTCCAAGAGGCCCCCGAGAGGCCTCCAAGAGGCCCCCGAACGGTCTCAGGGAGCCCAAGATGACTTCCAAGATGACTCAGATAGCCGAAGCTGGTTCAAAATGGTTCCCAAGATGCTCCAAGCGGCCCCACGACCGCTCCAAAACAGCTCGAGATGGCCATGAAGCCTCCCAAGCCTCCCTCGCTGTTTGACTATCCGTGTCTCTTCCTCTCTCCCCCCGTCAACTCTCATGGGCATCGTTTCTGGATGGGCTGGTGGAGATACGCACGCGAAGCGTCAAGAATTTGCGAGACTACCAAACGTGTTATGGTCACGCAAATGTATCGTCATGGTCCTGATCGGCAT